ATGAGGAAATGAATGACTTATTAATGACAAATATTATTCATGAAATTGAAAGTGAATGGATCTAATAAAAGTTTAACAGTGTTCGAATATTTTGATTGATTGATGCTTGTGAATTAAAATTCAATTTTACTTATTTTGTTGTTTTTAGCTCTACTGGTCAGAGACCAGAAGAGCTTATGCGATAGTAAGGTGTCCGTCGTCCGTCCGTCTGTCTGTAAACACTTTTTCAAAACGCTACTCCTCCTACAGTTTTGGTCTGATTTTAATATAATTTGGCACACAAGTAGATACATAAAATAGTGCATCGGTTTTTGATTTTGATGAACAGCGTTGTCATGGTTTCTAAAAATAGAAGTTTATTTGAAATTTCTTTAAAACGCTACTCCTCCAAAAGTTGTGGTCTGATTTCAATATAACTTGGCACACAAGTAGACTACACTTAGATACATAAAATAGTGCATCGGATTTAGATTTTGATTAACGATGTTGCCATGGTTACTAAGGATAGAATTTTCTGTGAAATTCCTTTAAAACGCTACTCCTTCTACAGTTTTGGTCTGATTTCAATATTACTTAGCACACAAGTAGACTACACTAAGATACATAGAATAGTGCATCTGTTTTTGACTTCGAAGAACAGTGTTGCCATGGTTACTAAAAATAGAAATGTCTGTGACATTCCTTTAAAACGCTACTCCTTCTACAGTTTTGGTCTGATGGCAATGGCTTCTTTTCTCATCCTTTGATATAAGTACAAACCAGTAGAGCTACAGTCTCGACAGAGACTTCTGGTTTACATTTGGTCCGGCAAATTTTTAGTGTGTCCTGTAGTTTTTTTTTTTTTATTTTTTTTTTACAATCTGTAGGACATTGTGTCCGACAAATCGTTTACCTCGTTCGCCAACTCTAACTTGTGTACATTAACATGTTATTGTTTTTGTTCACATCAGAGCGGGGGTATTATAAAGCATTGGCTTAAAGATTACTTGTTTTTATCTATAATGTGTACTCAGAAATTGACCCTTTATTTGGATTGTACAGTTATGTTTAAATTCTAAAAGCTCCAAAAAAGGAGAAATGTAGATAAGGCATGGATACCGACTGACAAACGTTTAAACTTACATGCTGTAATTTGAAACTTACAAATACAGGCAAGCAAAAAATACAAATTGCGTACCAATATTTTATAATTATTTTGTAGAAGATTTAAGAACTTGAATCAGAATAATCAAACATTTTTCTTTGTAAAATGTACTAAAGAAGTTTATTTTTCAGATTTCAATGTTCTCTGATAAGTTCGTTTGTACCCTAATAAAAATACTATAGTTAACTATAGTTTACTATAGTTAACTATATTTAACTATAGTTGTAACTTTGACACTTTGATTTACTTATGTGATCACATTGACACTTTGAAAAACTTTGGCGAAAACTTTGATACTTTGAAAAACTTTGTCGAAAACTTGAACACTTTGAGAAACTTTGTCGAAAACTTTGACACTTTGGAAAACTTAGGCGAAAACTTTGACACTTTGGAAAACTTTGTGGAAAACTTGAACACTTTGAGAAACTCTGTCGAAAACTTTGACACTTTGAAAAACTTTGGCGAAAACTTTGACACTTTGGAAAACTTTGTGGAAAACTTGAACACTTTGAGAAACTCTGTCGAAAACTTTGACACTTTGAAAAACTTTGGCGAAAACTTGAACACTTTGAGAAACTTTGTCGAAAACTTTGACACTTTGAAAAACTTTGGCGAAAACTTTGACACTTTGGAAAACTTTGGCGAAAACTGAGAGATTTGGAAAACTTTGACATTTTGAAAAACTTTGTCAAAATCTTTAACACTTTGAAAAACTTTATCGAAAACTTTGACACTTTAAAAATTTTTGTCGAAAACTTTGACACTTTGAAAAACTTTGGCGAAAACTTTGACACTTTGAAAAACTTTGGCAAAAACTGTGACACTTTGAAAAACATGGCGAAAACTTTGACACTTTGAAAAACTTTGGCAAAAACTGTGACACTTTGAAAAACTTTGGCGAAAACTTTGACACTTTGATTTACTATAGTTAACTATAGTAAACTATAGTTAATTATAGTTTTTTTTTTGTTAGGGTAGATCTCTTTCTTTTTCTCCTTCTCCCCGGTTTCTCTCACATACCCTCGCGTCCTCTTTTGCCTATCTGAATCAGATATCCTCTGGATCAACATTTTCCTTATATGGTGTTAATATCCACATTTCAAAGACGACCTGACTGACATTGTTCCGATGAGCTCTTTGATCCGGGGTGCGAAAATCAAGTCGATCTACACTGAAGAAAACCTCCTGCATGACCTACTGCCATTTACCAACCTCTGTTGATATTTCAAAGAAATCCTGGCATACGGTTGGTTCAAGTATGTCACGTGAAGGTTCATAGTCATTTGAAAACCAATACAATTTCGATATGATAAAATGAAAAAAATTACAGATCATTTCTCAAATCCATATGCTAGTACTGATATTTGAACAAAAAAGTTTTAGGTTTTTCGTGTTACGTGTATACCGTATTAGAGTCATTGAAAGCCTTACTTAGAGTAAATCTGAGTCCTGTGTAATTAATATATCCCCCGCTTGAAAAGTGGCAGGGTATACTGTAATCGGCATGTCCGTCCGTCCGTCTGTACGTCCGTCTGTTACGCTTTAGGGTACCCATCTCTTATCCGCTACTCCTCTTATACCACTGAGTGAAATTTAATGAAACTTTCACAGAATCTTTATTACATGCATGGATCCGTTGTGCACCTCCTATTTTACTTTTTGATCCGACACATCTTTTGGGTTTCCCGGCCACAGCATAAGAGAATTTGTCATCAGTTATAACCATATGGGAAGCGGGGAATATCATTTAGTGAGCTCATTGCTCACAGTACCTCTAGTTTGTTTTCTAAATTTAATGTACATTAATTAATTTTAAAAAAGGGTTCGATACAACCAGTTGCTGATATAAAATACATAGAACGCACTAATTGATACAAAAGGTTGGATTTTCCAAGCCTTTATACATGTACTCGGATATATGTATATATAATGGAATTCGAGAATTTTCTAAAATAATTAGACTGATTTAGTGTTCATTGGGATCGGATTGTGTAATTGGAGATCTCAAATTAGAAATCGAGATCTCGAATTAATAATCTGTGAAAAAGAGATATCGAATTACAAATCGAGGGAACGAATTAGTAAACTGTGAAGACGATCCCGAATTATAAATCGAGGGCACGAATTGATAATTTGTCGGAACGGATTGTGTAATTCGATTTGTTAAATACAAAGCACAGTTCAATAGTAGTTGGTTTATAATTTTAATACCAGTGCTGAGTAGTAAAATATCCCTAATCCAAGCTCTTGAAATAAGGGAGTTAGACGCTATTTTCCACTGACGTAGGGCCATAAAGCATCACCCTTATCCGAAATAGTCTTGGATATGAATATATGATTCTTAAGTCTATATGTTTTATGCTTATGAAATTAATCATATATATTATTAAAACATGATGTTTCAGTTGTAAAGCACTTGGAAATTGCTGAAATAAAATAAGCATTTTTGTCTTTTTTGTCTATAAACATAAGTTCCCCCCGTGAAACACAAAAAAGCTTTGGTGTGAATTTGTGAAATGACAGTTCATATTACCCGTAAAAAGATTATTTTTGTGTCACGGGGGAAAGATATTTTAAGAAAATATATTCCGTTTTCCATTGACTTCTACAGTGAAAAACGTGTTTTACAAAAATTTTAGAGTTATCTCTCGTTGTTTTCCCAAATAAGTAATGTATTATGAAAATTCATGTAAATATAAATATTAAAAATCATTCGAATATCTTAACTTTTGAAAATTGACTTGGAGGTAGACGGGAGAACAACACTAACGTTCGCAGTTTTTTATTAGTGAATGTTTTAATGTTGGGATTTATATGCCTAGACGGTAAACAATGAAGAAATAATAGTGACAGAGAATTAATAAAACTGAATGACTAATTGAACAGTTGGAGCTAGGACTTTCATACTTCGCACGTGTACTCATCGTGATAAGACCTTGAATGGTTATACAGCTTTTTGATTTTGACCTGAGCATTTGACCGATTTTTTTTTTACAAACATTAACCTTGGTCATAACTTTTGAACAACTAGAACTAGGGCTTTCATATTTATAACCCCCGCTTGAAAAGCGGGAGGGTATATTGTAATCGGTATGTCCGTCCGTCTGTCTGTTACGCTTTGTGGTACCCATCTCTTATCCTCAACTCCTCTCATACCACTGAGGGAAATTTAATTAAACTTTCACAGAATCTTTATTACATATTGCCATTGTTCACCTTCTATTTAACTTTTTGATCTGACATATATTTTGGATTTTCCAGAGCAAAACATGGACACTGCCATTATATTCATATGGGAGGCGGGGGGGATCATTTAGTGAGCTCATTGCTCACAGTACCTCTAGTTTCATAGGTGTTTTCCTTTTAAAAAGACCTCCCTTACACTTTTGACCTTGACCTTTGAAGTTAGCCTTGTTTGAGGAAATTCAACCCTCTCCATACCCGGTAAGCTGCAATACGGTGGCATCATTGTTTTACAAACACATCTTGTTTATGCAAGTATTGATCCTAATAATAGAGTTTTGAGTGGATCTGGAATATTAACCGATTAAATTTTAATTTGTTTATTTTAGAATTACAACTTTTTTAATTTTTAAGAGTAATCAGATTACACTTGCTGGCAAGGAAACTAGAAATGATTAATTTATAATTTTTAATACCTTTGTTCTCTTTACATGCTTACTCAAGGTCACATTTCTTATCTTTCGCATTGGTCGTTCGTAAAATGACTTTTGAGATCAACGACTTGGCCCAGAAAGTCACTTCGACACTCAGTTTAATAAAAGGCATACGACTCCTGATATTTAGCCCCTGAAATGGTTGTCAAAACGTTACTAATACAAAATAATTAGGTAACTTGTTCTTCATTTTAGATCACCAGTTTACAGTGTAGTAGTTGTTAGCGTTCTCGCGTCCTTGGCTCCCAGCACCAGTATGGATGTTAAATATAAGAGGACCGTGTCCACAAACTTGAACAGACATCTGTAAAGTAAAGGTGAAGGCCTGAAGAGGTTAGATAAGATGCTATATAGTTTTACTCCTACATGAAAAGTGCAGTACGTGTAACTGCGCAAGCATATGATAAGAACTGCAATACTACATGTATGTCCTACATGTCTGATAGCAACATTTTAAAATTGACGTGCCCTACTGGTCAAACCAGGGACGGCTATAGGTTTCCATTCCCTTTAGGTGCCCGACTATTAAATTTGGTTCTCTAGGGCTAGATGTATTTAATTTTTGATATGTGTGTCTACAAGAATGAGTTACATGCCCAGGAAAGTTATGATTAGGGATTTAAAACCTTGTAATTCAATAGGATAAAATGGCAAAACTCCATTATTTGAACATTCATTTCCATGCAAAAAAGTATCAAGTTGTTACTCTCCGCATATGATTAATTTCAAAATGGCCATAAATTGTATTTAAGGATTGGATGGTCACTTTATGGATTGAAAGTTTGGAAGAAATCCAGAACCATGACAACTGAGTTCTATTGTGTTTTTAGTTCATTCCATTTCTATCACATAAATGACCTCAATCTAAAGGTCGCGTAGTAAGACCTTGACTTCGGGAGATAAAATCTTTGATCATGAATTATTCTTGGCTTGTAAAATCATTAAACTATCTTTCAAGTATTTTTTCACGAGTTGATAAAACATGTTTGTATATAATATATATCATAGGTTTGATTAAAGGAAATATGTTTGCAGAAGCGCAGTAGTATGCACAGTGTAAAGCCATAAATAACCTATTAAGTGATGATACTAAAATCAATATAAATTTTAGAAAGGTAAATTAAACACACAAAAGCAGGTTACAATAACAAAATAAACAAGAGCACCACAAGGCGGAACATCCCTTTGAAAAGAGTACTGGTATATCTTTAACGCGAGGCAGCATTTGACATCGTTTTGGATGCAAATTGCATTACTTCCGTTTCAAACAGAATCCCCTCAACAAAAAAATGCATTATTATATACCTTACAAATTTGTTGCCAGAGATTAATCATAATGACATGATACCTGGAATCCGTCAGATGTACATTTAATAAAAACACCGGACATGGCAGATCCATCCATAGGATACATCCCAAACACAAATGTAGATACTGGGGTGTACTTCGGAATTCTCTGACAATTTTGCATTACCTGTTTAAGATTCAGAATAGTTTTTGTTTGAGTAAAGATATGCTGTACAGGAATCTGAGCTAGTAGGTTTTTTTTTTGGTCATTTAAAGTTTTTACAGTCATTGACATAAAATAATTTCCTTCAAGTCTTCCAACACCGTATTGATATATATATATATTTGAACTTTAAGTGTTTTAAATAAATTGGAACTGTTCTTGTTTGAATAACTGGTAATTATAAATGCACTATATATACATGTTTAGATGTGGAATTAATTTCAATTTTAAACTTCATATGAAAGTATACTTGCATTGTATCCTTTGGACCAGGTTGCTGGGGCCGCTGAATGACACGTTTTTAGCACTAGAGCCTCTGATTGGCTTTGTGTACCGTCAGTACACAAACCAGCTTCTGGATGAATGACCGTTTTTCCAATTGCCACAGTTTGGACAAATTCTAATCCGTTACATGTATGAGCTACACCATACAGAAAAACATTATATTTATGTGTATCTTTGGAATGAGTTTCACAGTGCAAAAGTAAAGAATTATATTTTGTTTATCAAGAGATTAACATACTTTCTACACTTCTCCCTACCTCTTAAATATCTCCTTAATTATCTGAATATTGTTTTACGTCCCATTCGAGAATTTTTCACTCAAATAGAGGTATTGTAATACGATGAAGGACTTTTAAGACCTTTACTCAGCATTCAAGGTCATTGAACAGCGAGAGGTCTATATTTTGCTTTTTACGATGGTCTCGAGTTCCACTCATGAGTTCCACTCCAAGTGTTGGAGGAAACGTGATTAATACCTATGTTAACGTTATAGTTTTGACTCGGCGCGGTACACGAAAATCGAACCAGGGCCTCCCTCCCGACCACGGAGCAAGCGCCCTACCACTAGGCTACCGTGACCTCTTCTAAAAATTCAATTTCAGAAACCTGGTTCAATTTTTTTTTCTGTCCTGCTTAAAAGCCAAAACGTGACTTTTCCTTTTTAAATCGACCAATTCCAGAATGTAGTGAAAGTTGCGATTCTACATTTAGAGACGGTAAGCGTCGGTATGATAAAGAATGACCCGGCCCCGAGTTCCAAATTTGAAGCCCTTCATAAGATGCAAGCGTAGTAAAATTTCTCGCAAGGAACATAAAAGCAATCAGTTTATTATTAATCTTCAGCTGTGAGGATGATTTAATAAGTTGAATGTTTATCCCATTATTTTCTTGAAAGAAGTAAAAATACAAACGCTTATAAAAGACCTCTTTCTGTAAAACAAACAAAACTATCCTGGATGTTCTATTTAGACTTAAGGAGGCTGCGGGGGGGGGGGGGGGGGTCAACAAAAACACCAAAAATAGACCACCAGATTTAACTGATTTTTTTAGAAATGGTATCTTAAGCTGTCAACTTTCATTTGGCAAAAAAAAAAAATCATACATTTTAGTTTTAAAATTTGATCATTTTTGTATATCTTTACATGGAGCTCTTCTTTTAAAGGAGATCGAAATAGTCTGAAAATGGCTGCCACCCCCAGCCTCTTTAAGCTCTAGAAATTCTTACAGTGTAATTCAAATATTTTTCAGAGTGTTCTACTCAGTTCGTATTTAAAATCTTAAGTATGACTACAGTAACGACAAAAATTTATATCAGTATTCTTACAGACATTAAGTGGTGGCACTGTGGTTGTTGTAGGTGTCGTTGTTGTTGTAACTGGTATCGTAGTGGGTGTACTGGGGGCAGGAGCTGTTGTATGATGTGGGACATGCGGTGCCTGTGTGGTTTTCCCAAGATGTGGCAGACCAAGAATCTCTTCAAAGTTATTCAATAACAATAATTTATTTTTATAAAAAAAATCAATTTGAAAAAATATACAAATAAAGTAGTAGTGGATTTGAATTACCTTCAATCTTGTAGAGAATTTCCGAAATACAAGTATTATCCAGATGCTCCAAATCATGTACGAGATGCTCCACTAGATGTATGTACAAAAGACAATGTAATATGTTTTATGTTTGCTATTTATGCATAAATCAGTTGTTTGACAATTAAGTCTTAAAAGATTATATACTTAGATAGTAAAATCTTGTATGAAAGCTTGCACTTACTTTCTTTTCGAAGTTTGTCTATTTCATGTTTTTGGTGATCATCATGGTGTCCGTGCGCACGTTTTTGGAGCACTTCCCCTTGGAGACAAAATAACTTTTTTATTGATTTTTTTTTAAATATATCAATGAAAACTTAAAAAGTGCTTTTCGACTAGGTAATAAATTTATCAAAATAAAAAGGTAAGCGTTAAATATTCTTAACACTTACAGTCTAAGTTAATAAATCAGCATACATGTATAAGGTTATAAGACAACAAGACAGTGACATATTCACTTAAATGTAAGTGAAAGTATCAGGACTTATAGATTAGACCGTAAATAGTCGGATGATATGAATTATTTCTGCAAAAAACCCCAATGCCCTGAAAAGGTCTACATTTGAAACCCTCCGCAGACTGCATATAGTGAAGTGTCTAAATTAATGAAAAATCCTCAAACAAGGCGTTTACTAAATCATTTAGATTTATCAACGACGTTTACTAATTTTTTGGGATTTGAACTATGTTCAATCTCCCATGGTCGTCACGCATTTAACATGCGCAGTAATTTGTGTTGATTATATAGAGCCGAAAGTGAGGCTACTGTGTCGACCGATTTACTCCTATGATATTCAACAGAAAACATGCATAAACATCCGCCACAAATAGTTCATGTCATTTTCTCCTGAATTGATGTAATTTTCATAATTTGAAATGTAAATATTTATAATGATAAAGTAATCTTATTTTGAATATTAGATTTCGTTCAAAGTAAAACTAAATTATAAAGAACCTCAAAAGTTTTTCGTAATGGAACTCCTTTTTTAGTGTAGCGTCATACACTGAAAGAGATACGAAGGACAACTCTACATACTGACGGCGAGCGGTAAATCTAATCTTCCCGACGCCCTACGGTCCCGGATTTTTAGCAATTTGTTTTTTACGGGTGCACAGAATTTATCCAAACTTTTCATGAACATTTTCTTGGTTTAAATGAATTCATTAATGTATAAAAACTTGAGGAAACATGCGCATTTATTACTAAATCAGCAGTATCACCTGACAAAAGCGGTAAATGTAGTACTCTGTTATAAATGTTAAAACCAAAAACGGACACCGAAGTTTTCGTGAAATCGCGATTAAAAACAACAAAATGAAGTATATTTTTTTTTAATAAAAGGAAAACCTCATTTACATACCAGATAATTTGTACGCACACAAACTCTCACATATACCACTGTTTTTATGTTTGGTCATTAAATATTTGTTTTTAACTTGGTATTGCTTTTTTCTTCACAATATTAAAAAAGATTAAGTTCTGACATACTCCATGTATAATTTTCGTGTAATTGAAATACATTTATATTCACAGAGAAGTTTTATATAACAAATCTGTTAGCTCTTAAAACTAGATGCTGTGTGAAAATCCACATTTTATCAACATTGATATTATTCCTGCGAAACTGAAATTTTCATAAAACATGGGTAAAGGTGCCAAGGAAAAATATATTACAAATTTGAAGATGTGAGCAGTGAATTATATAAATGATCAACCGCCTCTAAGATGAATATAATGACAGTGTCCATGTTTTGCAATGGGAAACCCAAAATATGTGTAGGATGAAAAAGTAATAGAAGGTGCACAACGGCGATATGTAATAAAGATTCTATGAAAATTTCGTTCAGTGGTGTAAGAGGAGTTGCGGATAAGAGATGGGTATACCTAAAGCGTAATAAACAGATGGACAGAAATCCCGATTAATAAATACCCTCCCGCTTTTCAAGCAGGGGGTATAAAAAAGGACTAATGTAGGTAGGCAAGCATTAGAGGCCATGCATTTTTGGCTATTCAATGTCTTTGAATATCTTTCTCGATCAAGACTGTTCTAACTCAAAAAATGTGAAACAGATGTCTGTATTTGAAAATACAGACATAATAATAATAATTAATACATGTAATATTGTTCACTCACCTAACCTCCCGATCAAAGATTTTATTTTACACCATGTTTAACTCCCATGAGTGCTTTCAGTACTTTGATTTCATAGCATTTGCCCTTATCTATACAAGTCATCAAAATAACTAGTCTTGTGCAAAATATGTTCCGATATATATCTTATATGTAAAATTGGGTGAAGGGTGACCCGGTTGTATACTTACGTCTGTGGTGATGCTGATGATGTAAATGGTGAGGATGCCGTCCTAGGTCTACCATATACATGTCAGGATATATATAGTGTTCTAAAACTAATTAACAAAAAAGTATTTATTCAATGGGTACATATATACACTTGAGCAAATTAAGTATGATTATATCCAAAATGCAATAAATAGATAAAATATGCATTGCGAAATCTAATAGGAGGTAAAAGGGAAAAGATCGAGGAAGTCCAGAATCTGTCTAAGCATGGTTGCATGTTAGGGCGCCTAGACGTGTCAACAAAAACATGCGGTCCATAATCAATTTACAGGAGGACTTTTTACATCTAATTTAAGGAAAAAAACTATCTTCTATTTTGGTATTTGCGACCGTTAATGCTTGATTTAAAGGTCGAAAACTGAGTTTTACGCGTCGCCGGTAAAACGGATGTTTACGACCGTTCTATCAGCATTAACTTTCCCAAATACCAAATTAGAAGAAATCAATTCCCATTCTAATGCAATCTAAGCATTTTGTTTGTTGTAATAACCCCCTTTTATTTGCGGGGATAGAGGAATCACCCTGTCCATCTGTGCGAACTTGTCCGGTCTATATCTTTCTTACGGAGGAACATTAGAATCTACTACTTCACACTAAGATTGCTTATGACCTAAGGCTGTGTCATGACCTTGACCAAAGGTCATTTGGAGAGGTTCAAGGTCACAGGAAGAAAAATTTAATAATTTGTGTCCGGTCCATATCTTTCTCATGGACAAACTTGGTAAATTCTCATTTGACACAAAGATTTCTCATGACCTAAGATTGTGTCATGACCTTGACCCAAGGTCATTTGGGGAAAATCAAGGTCACTGGAAGAAAAATTTCCTAATTCGTGTCGGCCAATCTTTCTTATGGATAAACTTGGTAAGTTCCCATTTGACATAGATTCCTCATGACCTAAGGGTGTGTCATGACCTTGACCTTGACCTAAGGTCATTTTAAAAAGTTCAAAGTCACTGAAGGAAAAAAATTCATAATTCATGTCTGGTCCATATCTTTCTTATGGATAAACTTTGTGTAAACTTTTTTTACACAAAGATTGCTTATGATCTGAGGATGTGTCTTGACTTAGCCAAGGTCATTTGTGCAACTTCAAGGACACTGACAGAAACAAAAAAATTACAATTCATGTCCGGTCATCTTATGGATAAACGTTGAGAGTTCCCATTTTACAAAAAGATTGCTTTGTACCTTAAGGTGTGTTATGACTGAACCAAGGTCATTAATGAAAGGTCACTGACAGAAAAAGTTCATAATTCGTGTTTGGTCTGTTTCTTTAGAATTTATTTTTAATTAGGCTGCACCTTCGTTTAATTAAAAAAAATATAAGCAATGTTATTTGCACTAAAAATGTTTTAGCATTTCTCTCTTCTCTTTGATCTATAAAATAATCATGATTTGGCACCTTCTCTGAAAAAACCAGCGGGGGTATTTCGTTTTGGACAGTTCTAGTTTACGTCTTATTTTACTGAAGTTTTGTTATAAGGAATACGTCATGGAGCCTTGTGTCCAGTAGATACTGGCGCGAGCAATATCTTGCTACTGAATGCTTGCAGCCATCCAACGGCAAGTGGTGCTGTTTTCATAGAAGTGAAAAATTTTCGAGAGGGATTTTAAACAATAAACAAATACACAGAACATGAAATCACTTGTTCAAGTTGAATAAATATTTGTAATTATACGAACATGTCTTTTTTAACATCTTCAAACTAAATTGAATCTTTATAGTAAACCTGGTTCCTACCTGTTTGCAGGAGATTCAGGTCAGGATGATGTCTGAAATAGTCCTCAATTTTGTGGATTATTTCTGCAAAAAATGCTTACATTTAACAGATTATAGCTATATGCAAGAACTTAAATTTAGAAGAATGTCAATGTTTATTAGTTAATGTAATATAAAAAATTCTAAAATTGACATCACACCAGAGGTATAACATTTATAAATTTAGACCAATCTGAAAATAAAACTTACTCAAAAGCTTGAGATTTTAATTAATTTTCATTTGTTTCATTACGTTTAATGATGTCATAATAATTACTAGTATATTTGTAGGGAATTATATAAGGTACTCCGATCCTCAGGTTCTGAAAAAATCAAGCATTGACTAATTGAAAATGCTCACAAAAGTGTCCCTAAATTTTCAAAGTTACGTGTTTATACCAATGATAATTCTTCAAACTTCATCTTCAAAATTAATCATATTATATAGAGAAAATTAGTAAATCTAAAATATATTTTCAAGAATTTAGAATAAAAACACCTGCTATGTATTTTCCAATTCAATTTTGATTAATAAACACATTTAAAAAAAATCATAGGCATCCAGGATTTTGAAGAAATTCCAGTTTTTATACATATTATGTACCTTAATTTCTTTTATTTACTTCAATCATTTTACAATGCATAGTTTATAATGATTCTCCTGCCACTGCAAGCACCATATATCACTTTTAATTTCATATCATTTTAATAAAAATTGGTATCTATGGTTAGATTAAAATGAACATCAATTTCTTGATATATTTAATTTTGAAATGCTTTTATGGGGTAAACCAGAAGTCTCTGTTGAGACTGTAGCTCTACTGGTTTGTACTTATCAAAAACCATTGCACTATTTTATGTATCTTTGTGTAGTCTACTTGTGTGCCAACTTATTTTGAAATCAAACTAAAACTGTAGAAAGAGTAGTGTTTTAAAGGAATTTCACAGAAAATTCTATTTTTAGTAACCATGGTAACACCGTTCATTGAAATCAAAAATCGATGCACTATTCTATGTATCTTAGTGTAGTCTACTTGTGTGCCAAGTTATATTGAAATCAGACCAAAACTGTAGAAGGAGTAGCGTTTTAAAGGAATTTCACAGAAAATTCTATTTTTAGTAACCATGGCAACACCGTTCATCGAAATTAAAAACCGATGCATTATTCTATGTATCTTAGTGTAGTCTACTTGTGTGCCATGTTATATTGAAATCAGACCAAAACTGTAGAAGGAGTAATTTTTTAAAGGAATTTCAAAGAGAATTCTATTTTTAGTAACCAAGGCAACACCGTTCACCAGAATCAAAAACCGATGCACTATTCTATGCATCTTAGTGTAGTCTACTTGTGTGCCAAGTTATATTGAAATCAGACTAAAATTGTAGGAGGAGTAGCGTTTTGAAAAATTGTTTACAGACAGACGGACAGACAGACAGACGGACGGACGCCGGACGCATTACTATCGCATAAGCTCTTCTGGTCCCTGACCAGTAGAGCTAAAAATTGACTTTTAATTAGACTTATCTGAGAACTTCAAAGAACCTTGAAGAACATGGAGAGGTAAATAATGAAAATTGTTGCATGAAACGATCTAATTTTCAAGCTTCATTTTGAGACTTTTTGAATTTAAATATTAATAAAATAAAGAGTTGCCTGCCTGGCTGAGGATCGGAGTCCCTTAAGTTACTAGATACATTTAAAGCCCGTGTGTTTAGTTTTTAGCTCTACTGGTCAGAGATTTTTCAAAACGCTACTCCTCCTACAGTTTTGATTTGATTTCAATATAACTTGGCACATAAGTAGACTACACTACGATATATAATTTAGTGCATCGGTATTTGATTTCGATGAACGGTGTTGCCAGGGTTACTAAAAATAGAAATTGCTGTGAAATTCCTTTAAAATGCTACTCCTCCGACAGTTTTGGTCTGATTTCAATATAACTTGGCACACAAGTAGATTACACTAAGATACATAATTCTGTGCATCGGTTTTTGATTTCGATGAACGGTGTTGCCATGGTTACTAAAAACAGAAATTTCTATGAAATTCTTTCAAAACGCTACTTCTTCTACAGTGTTAGCCTGATTTCAGTATTATTTGGCACACAAGTAGACTACACTAAGATATATAAAATTGTGCATCGGTTTTTGATTTCGATGAACAGTGTTGCTTTGGTTACTAAAAATAGAATTTTCTGTGAATTTTCTTCAAAACGTTACTTCTCCTACAGTTTTGGCCTGATTTCAATATAACTTGGCACACAAGTAGACTACACTAGGAAAGATAAAAAGGTGCATCGGTTTTTGATTTCGATGAACGGTGTTGCCATGGTTACTAAAAATAGAAATGTCTGTGAAAAACTTTCAAAATGCTACTCCTTCTACAGTTTTGGTTTGATTTCAATATAACTTGGCACACAAGTAGACTTTACTAAGATACATAAAATAGTGCATCGGTTTTTGATTTCGATGAACGGTGTTGCCAATATTATTTCTGTGAAAATTCTTTAAAACGCTACTCCCTCCTCAGTTTTTGTCTGATTTCAATATAACTTGGCACACAAGTAGACTACACTGTGATACATACTAGTAATTTATTGCAGCAGCTTTTGATTTCGATGAACAGTGTTGCCATTGTTACTAAATTTAGAAATGTCTCTCGAATTCCTTTAAAATGCTACTCCTTCTACAGATTTGGTCTGATGGCAATGGCTTCTTTTCTAATCCTTTGTTAGAAGTACAAACCAGTAGAGCTACAGTCCCGACAGAGACTTCTGATTTTTTTTTTACTTTTTACCACTTACCAACCCTCTTCAAACTCAACTGGCGCTTTACTTGAGTAATACATGTTTATTCTTAAAAATTTTGAACACACTATGGTATAAAATAATGCGACGAACAATTTTTGTATGATCGATAGTTCATGTAATGACAGGACCACTTTCATAACCATACACCTGGTGATGGACAAGGTGAAATTGAGTTCGTGTTTCGAAAAAAGAAATAATTGAAAATTATGCCGTTTTTTTAGCTCTACTGGTCAGAGACCAGAAGAGCTTATGCGATAGTAATGCGTCCGGCATCCGTCCGTCTGTCTGTCTGTCTGTCCGTCTGTCTGTAAACAATTTTTCAAAATGCTACTTCTCCTACAATTTTAGTCTGATTTCAATATAACTTGGCACACAAGTAGACTACACTAAGATACATAGAATAGTGCATCGGTTTTTGATTTCGATGAACGGTGTTGCCATGGTTACTAAAAATAGAATTTTCTGTGAAATTTCTTTAAAACGCTACTTCTTCTAGAGTTTTGGTCTGATTTCAGTATAACTTGGCACACAAGTAGACTACACTAAGATACATAGAATAGTGCATCGGTTTTTGATTTCGGTGAACGGTGTTGCCATGGTTACTAAAAATAGAATTTTCTGAGATATTCCTTTAAAACGCTACTCCTTCTACAGTTTTGGTCTGATTTCAATATAACTTGGCACAAAAGTAGACTACACTACGATACATAGAATAGTGCATCGGTTTTTGATTTTCGATGAACGGTGTTGCCATGGTTACTAAAAATAGCATTTTCTGTGAAATTCCTTAAAAACGCTACTCCTTCTACAGTTTTTGTTCTGATTTCAGTATAACTTAGTACACAAGTAGACTACACTAAGATACATAGAATAGTGCATCGGTTTTTGATTTCGGTGAACGGTGTTGCCATGGTTACAAAAAATAGAATTTTCTGTGAAATTCCTTTAAAACGCTACTCCTTCTAAAGTTTTGGTCTGATTTCAATATAACTTGGCACACAAGTAGAGTACACTAAGATACATAGAATAGTGCATCGGTTTTTGATTTCGGTGAACGGTGTTGCCATGGTTACTAAAAATGGAATTCTCTGTGAAATTCCTTTAAAACACTACTCCTTCTACAGTTTTGGTCTGATTTCAAAATAAGTTGGCACACAAGTAGACTACACAAAGATACATAATATAGTGCAATGGTTTGATAAGTACAAACCAGTAGAGCTACAGTCTCGACAGAGACTTCTGGTTTTATTTAGGTTCTAGTGGTTCGGTTTAAAGAGATGTGGACATATGAAGCCTTCTCAGCAAACTCTCTTATTAGAATTATATAGTCGGATAATGTCTGTTTCTAAGTACACACATGTGTATAGATGTACATAATAAATAGTCACCATCACAAAGATCATCTTATGAAAAAAATCTAAATGACGTTCCGATTAATCGATTATCAAATCGAAAAGGCCCCGATAATAGATAATCAATTATAATTTTTATTATTGATTTATCAAAATATAGTTCAAAGCAAATTATTCTAAATTTATGAATTCTTCATTCAATCTGCTATGAATGTAACTAAATTCTTAGTATTTTTAATGAATGAATCAAATAATACAAAATGCATCAAAAGTGCAATATAGAAGCCCTTTCTCACTTAAGAGTTTTTTCATCTTGTTTTTTATTTTAAATGAACAAATTTAATACTTGAAATCAATCGATTAAAGTGCATCCGATTATTTTGATAAGCGATTATGAAAAAAAAAATTCTGATTTCCCATCACTAGAAAATCTGAAATTTTATTTGGTAGTAGAGACCTTGAAACTTTTTTTTTCATATCATTTTGGATCATCTCTCGGCTAATCACGAAAGTCAGTTCTATTTGTTGAAATTTTTGTTCAGTACTGGCGTATATGTAATGGTACTCACACGTACATACAATATAAATTTTTAAAATCTTAATATCAACAATAATTACTCTTGATGTGATGTTTTTATAAACACTACAGACACATGTAACGTTATTTAACACTTAGTTATCGCAATATATCCCGTGATAAAAATTACATGACATGAACATAATTGGACTTACCATCCCTTTTTTCGGGGTGATCGCAGTGTTGACAACTCACGACAGCTGGAAGTAAAAAGAAGATTTATTCTTAACACTAAATATCACCAGACATTGCATGCAGAGGCTGAATCCTGGAATATAAAGGATTCTATTTCCACAGAAAATTTTTATTCATTTTTTTCCTTTATTTTAAAAATTTTTATGAAATCACGTATTTTTCATTTGTTGACCTTGACGTGCTTGATTACAGATGGTGTCACTTAGTATGTTTCATTGACCCTCTGGAAAAGAGAGGTAACTCTTAGGATACTTCAATAAAATAATCAAGTTTATAGACGATATTTCGGTCTGCTTGATTGTACCTGCCAAGGTATGATGAATGATTTTCATTTGATTATGAATAAGATTTCTTCAGAAAATCACGAGCGTTGAAGAAAACTCTGATCAGAAGGATCGTGAGCCGTAAGGTGTAACCATTGGTTCTAGACAAAATTCCGAACTCGTGTTGTATGTAAAAAACAAGAACCATGCGATTTCCTGTGTTATTTTCCACTGTGTTAAGAAAATAAGTAGAAATAAAACACCAGGTTTTAACGTTTTGTTAACGATTAAATACTTAATTGATCCTTTTGAAGGTACCAATTAAAAAAGGAGTAGGATTCATTTCGAGTTGTATCAATACAAAATACGGTTTACTTGCCAAAAACTGCAATAATCCACAGAAATGATATCATCTCGGCAAAGCTAGCAAAGACAGAATGATAAGGCTATACAATATACATATCATATAGGTCACGTGATTAGTGTTTAAATTTTGATTTTACTGACAGGAGTTCAGTGTAATAAAAGTTGACGGTAAACTTATGAATACATGTACATATGTACAAACTTAAGTTTCTTTGAATAATATCAACTATCTAGAGAAAACCCATCCACATGGAAAAACAAACGCAAGAATTATGTTTCAAAATTCAACAGAATGAGAGACATCAGTCATCCGAATGGAACAGAATCAGCTATAGGAACGTTCAATAAGTAGATCACTGATCAACATACGGTCTATAAAGACCAGAAGTCTTTGTCGAGATTGTAGCTCTACTGGTTTGTACTTATAATAAAGGAAAAGAAAAGTAGCAGTTGGGACATAAAACTTTCCAAATGCAATAAATAGAATAATGATGTTTGATTAAGTCTCTTTGTGTGGCAAGATTGCGATAAGAATACAACTGTAAGAGTAGCTTGTAATAAAATTTTACAGAATTTTCAATTTTAGTTACCATGGCAACATTGTTCATCAAAAACACAAAACTGATAATTATGCATCACTGTGCAGTCTACTTGCATACCAGACTAGTGCTAATTGTAACGGGGACCGTTACAGATGTTCCCCAAACGCTCCCCAACTCCCTTTTGGTGCCATATCCCCTGTAAGCTTCATTAAATAAGACAAACTCTATGCATTTGAGACTTTTACAATGTTTACCCAAAAGTGTACCAAGTTCATTCAAATTTTAGCATTGCACGCGTGCGCGTGTGAATGCATGTGCGTAATGACCATATCATATTGTCTACACAATCTATATATTTTAATATACTAAATATTAAAGTATCTAATCCAAAAGTATTAAAAAACAAGAGGCCCAGGGGCCACATCGCTCACCTGAGCAATTGGCTAGGAAAAAACACAGATCAGATCAGAACTGAAAGTAAACTGGGTGGGGGGGGGGGGGGCTTGAATTTTACAACCCCCCCTAGGGGGTCATGATTTGAACAAACTTGAATCTACACTACCTGAGGATGATTCCCAATAAATATAACAAAGCCTGGCTTTGAAGTACTTGAAAAGAAGATTTTAAAAGGTTTCCCTATGATCCTATGTAAAACTTTCATCGGCCGTTTTGGCCCCACCCTACCCCCGGGGGTCATGATTTGAACAAACTTGAATCTACACTACCTGAGGATGATTCCACATGCGTTTCATCTTTCCTGGCCCAGTGGTTCTTGAGAAGAAGATTTTTCCTATATATTCCTTTGTAAAACCTAGATCGGCCATTTTGGCCCCACCCAACCCCCGGGGGTCATGATTTGAACAAACTTGAATCTACACTACCTGAGGATGATTCCACATGCGTTTCATCTTTCCTGGCCCAGTGGTTCTTGATAAGAAGATTTTTAAAGATTTTCCCTATATATTCCTATGTAAAATTTTGATCGGCCATTTTGGCCCCACCCAACCCCCGGGGGTCATGATTTGAACAACCTTGAATCTACACTACCTGAGGATGATTCCACATGCGTTTCATCTTTCCTGGCCCAGTGGTTCTTGATAAGAAGATTTTTAAAGATTTTCCCTATATATTCCTATGTAAAATTTTGATCGGCCATTTTGGCCCCATCCTACCCCCGGGGGTCATGATTTGAACAAACTTGAATCTACACTATCTGAGGATGATTCCACATGAGTTTCATCTTTCCTGACCCAAAGGTTCTTGAGAAGAAGATTTTTAAAGATTTTCCCAATATATTCCTATGTAAAACTTTGATCGGCCATTTTGGCCCCACCCTACCCCCGGGGGTCATGATTTGAACAAACTTGAATCTACACTACCTGAGGATGATTCCACATCAGATTCATCTTTCCTGGCCCAGTGGTTCTTGAGAAGAAGATTTTTAAAGATTTTCCCTATATATTCCTATGTAAAACTTTGATCGGCCATTTTGGCCCCTACCCTACCCCCGGGGGTCATGATTTGAACAAATTTGAATCTACACTATCTGAGGATGATTCCACATGAGTTTCATCTTTCCTGACCCAAAGGTTCTTGAGAAGAAGATTTTAAAAGATTTTTCCTATATATTCCTATGTAAAACTTTGATCGGCCATTTTGGCCCCACCCTACCCCCGGGGGTCATGATTTGAACAAACTTGAATCTACACTACCTGAGGATGCTTCCATATAAATATGATCCATTATGGCTTTGTTATCTTTCCTGGCCCAGTGGTTCTTGAGAAGAAGATTTTTAAAGATTTTTCCTATATATTCCTATGTAAAACTTTGATCGGCCATTTTGGCCCCACCCTACCCCCGGGGATCATGATTTGAACAAACTTGAATCTACACTACCTGAGGATGATTCCACATGAGTTTCATCTTTCCTGGCCCAGTGGTTCTTGAGAAGAAGATTTTTTAAAAATGTCATTAATTTTTCTCTAATTCATAATTATCTCCCCTTGGAAAAGGGCCTGGCCCTTCATTTGAACAAACTTGAATCCCCTTCACCCAAAGATACTTTGTACCAAGTTTGGTCGAAATTGGTCCAGTGGTTCTTGAGAAGAAGATGAAAATGTGAAAAGTTTACGACGACAACAACGACAGACAACGGACAAAATTTGATCAGAAAAGCTCACTTGAGCCTTCGGCTCAGGTGAGCTAATAAGCTCATTCAGGTGTATTTTTGATTTTACTCATTTCACGTGCACGCACGTGCATACATGAGCATAGTGACCATACCTTCTTGTAGAAGTCCATTACATCTATCTATGTTCTAAATCCCACCCCGTTTGGTTGAAAACCAAGGGAGTTATAGCTGTTTAAAGTTTCAGCCAATTAGATTATAGCACACGTACACGCACGTGTATGCATGTGCATGGTGACCATGCTTTCTTGTAGAGGTCCATTATATCTATCTATGTTCCAAATCCCATCCTGTTTGGTTGAAAATCAAGGGAGTTATAGCTATTTAAAGTTTAAGCCAATCAGATTGCAGCACACGTGCATGCACGTGTTTTCATGATAATTGCTATATATCATGTTGTAGGATATCCTATTCCATGGCTATGTTCAAAATTTCAAGGGATTTCGTCAAAAAACAAGAAAGATATTGAGACTTTAGTTTCAGCCAATCAGAGCGAAGCGCACGTGCATGCGCGTGAGATCTTGCTATTTTGACCACGTCATGTTGTCTGTGCTACTAATATATCCTTATATTATGAGTTTCAAAGCATTTCATCAAAAATGGGAAAAGTTACGCCTAAATCAATTAAATCGGTCATTTCACGTGTTGCACGTGCACGCTCTTGCAAGCACGTGCGCGCAAAATGACCTTCGTTCCGCAAATCTACATAACATGCCTACTGACCCTAAAAAGGTTTTACCTAAGTCGGATTAGCTGCAATAATGTAGCCCTCTCCGATTTTTTTTAATCTGATGTTTTCTGGAGAGGGCTACAATTCCATAGCATCTCCGTAATGGTGCAAATATTTTTTTTTAATAGGAGCGACTGCAGGCAAAATAAATTATTTTTACATTCAACTTACTTCTAATAAGACGAAATTTTTATTCACTGTCAACAACAGACCCCGTTAAATGCGAAAAACTTGTAAAATAACTCTGCATGTTTCCTGGTAGTTTACTTCAGCAGCCATGACAGTTCACGCGTGACGTAATGAAACTTTCGCTTGAAATTTAGAACAACTGAATAAAGCAATTATCGGTGTTTATAAATGATTGTGCTGAATTTCATCACAAAAACATAGGTATATAAAACCATTTTAGGTGTTATTTTTATGCAAGCAGCGATATTTATGCTTAAAATAAGGGAATTCCAAACAGATCCGCTCCTATAGAACCTAAATTCTCATTGGCTGTCCCAAAATACAATCTATCAAGGTCAGTAAACATGGCGGATAAATTCGAGTTGTGATTGTTGACATACACGAAAAATAAGCTATATATAGGGATCGTTCTGTATATTTTTGCATTGATTTACGTCTTGGATGACTACTTATTTGGAGTCAAGGTAAGAGATTTAATAAAATAGCCATTTACTGATAATTTAAGCCGAAATCCGTGCGGGAGCGAATCACACCCGCAGCTGCACCATTATGGAGATCCTAAGGAGTTGTAGCCCTCTCCCAAAAAAAAAAAAAAAAAAAAAGGGAGAGGGCTACATTATTGCAGCTAAAGTCGGATGTGTAGTTTACAAGATCACTCCCGGACAAAAAAGTACCCAGGAAGAAGAAAAATAATAATAATAATAAGAAACAGAGTAAAAACTAGTGCTAATTGTAACGGGGACCGTTACAGATGTTCCCCAAACGCTCCCCCACTCCCTTTTGGTGCCATATTCCCTGTTATCTCTATTAAATAAGAATTACTTTATGGAATTTAGACTTAATCAAGGTCTTCCAAGAAAAATACAAAATATATTAAAAAAAATAGGCATTGCACGCGTGTTCATGTGCGTAACGACCATCTTATCTTGTCTACACTATCTAAAATTTTAATAATATCAAAGCATTTAATCCAAAAGTATTAAAAAATGCACTCATTCGAGTGTATTTTTTATTTTACTCATTTCACGTGCACGCACGTGCAAGCACGTGCATAATGACAACACCTTCTTGTAGGAGTCCCTTATATTTATCCAAGTTCTAAATCCCATCCTGTTTGGTTGAAAAACAAGGGAGTTATAGCCATTTGAAGTTTCAGCCAATCAGATTGCAGCACACGTGCATGCGCGTGATTTCATGAATATTTTCTATATCATATTTTAGGATATCGTAATGCATGACTATGTTTTAAATTTCAAAGCATTTCGTCAAAAAACAAAGGAGATGTAGCCATTTAAAGTTTTAGCCAATCAGATTACAGCACGCGCGTATGCGCATGGTTTTATTAAAATTTTAATATATCATGCTCTAGATCTTCATAATGTAGGACCATGTTCAAAATTTCAAAAGATTATGACAAGAAACAA